CCTTGGTGATCATTTTAAAGAAGATCAGATCAAGTACAAAGTACATGTAGAGCTGTTTATAAAAATAACATGGAAAACAATCTCTGATCTGCAGCATTGCTGCTGTGTGCAGGCTCAATGCATGAAGTTATCCTATCTGCCACAGTTTTGACTTGTTGTTAGAAATGCGCTATCACAGTTTTAATATCCAGGAGGAAATATAGGTGTAGTATATAGATATGGATGAATATATATGAGTGCATGTATGGTGGAGAACTTTGGAATGAAGCGCTATTCTGAAGGATGCTGAGCTTGGAAAAAGGGAGTGGCAGCACCTATTAGCTGCTGTTGATATGAACACAAAATATATAGGCTCTGCTGTTGCTCAGAACTGTTTCTGTTTTCCTTATCCCTACTTGGCCCTCCACAAGGGCTGACAGGGCTTTCGTCCCTATGAGAACTCTTGCTTCAACACTGCCAAAGTGCCAGATGCATGCAGGGTGTGATGGGACCAACCTCAGAAGCAAGCTGGTGTTTCTCACCCAAGGACAAGTGGGATAGGACTCATTTAACCCAGTGTGAGCTACCACAAAAATCAGCATTTGGGAATGACCATGCTAACACTGCGTCTTCTTTAAGGTTGTATTTACTTCATAGACAACTCCACTCTGAGCAGGAGATCCTTCTAGCCTAAATTACCCTATTAGCCAATAATTTAAGCTCATCACTGACTCCCTCCGTAGTTACCAGGCAGTTGTAGAAGGAAGTCTGTCACTCTGCAGTGTAAGTGTGAAATAGCCATTGGCAGATGTGCTGTACCCAGCTGGGGTTCTTTCTTTCCATTAACTACAAAAAGAATTCAGTGACTTCCATACAAGTAGTGGTATCTGCTGTTGGTATCTAAAGTTCATGTAATGGATTCCTTTCTGCTTTTGAAGACATCTTTAAAGTCTAAATTCAATTTAAACTTTTGCATAAATATGCCCTCTGTATGAATGAAACAGCTTAATATCTCAGTTTCTGCTTTTCTCTTTTTTCTGTAATGTTGTCTCATACCTTCTCACACAGCTTATCCATTTGAATAGAATTTTGTGTACTCTGAAATGGAGTATTAAAATCTATGTTTAAAATCTATGTTATCAAATATTTCCTTTTTTTTTTTTTTTTTTTTAAAGAACCCTTTCTTATGGCCTTTTCAGACTTTCTTTTTCATGCTAAAGTATCTTCTAATACAACCCACAGTGCTGCCATAGTTATCCAGATATCACCAGTGCTGGCAGTAACCAGGACAGCAAGACAATATGCCATTTCTGTGGAGAAGTCGCAGATAATCACCAGCGTCTGCTCACTGGATGGGCTCACTATTTTAACTAAAAAGAGTAACTATGGAAAACTGAAATACAGTTCTGGGGATCAGTTATAGGCAGCAAAGCTGTAAAGAATTTAGAATGATCTTACCATGTAATCTTTTTAATCTCTATCAGTGATTGCTAGCAGTGTCACACTTGTGCATGCTCTTCTGTGTTTTTTCTTTTTAAAAAACCAGTTGATGACAGAAATCACACCTCTGAGTGTGTATAACCTAAGCTGTATACCTACATAGATATGTTAGTTGCCAACCCATACAGCTCTCCTAACCGTGCCCAACATCATTTGTGGCTGCACTATCTGACTTGGAGTAAAAACATGCCATGGACAATGCTTACACTGTACAAACAGTACCAAATGTCACATACTAAAGCTCAGACACATGGCCTAGGTCTCTCATTTACTTAATGTAAATATAACAACAAGGAAATTTTCCTCTGTGCAGTCACTGGAGCTTATGGAAATTTCAGGGCTATTTTAGGAGAAAATTCGAGCTGGATTTCTTTGGGAGAAGCAGAATCTTTTATTATACAAAATTACATAGCTAGAAGAAGCAGGCACAATTTAGATCCATTAGATCTGAAACTGAAGCAGCAAACGTAGGCCAAGGAAAAATTGCAGTATGTTTAAGTTTGTGTTAGTGCTGGAGAAAAGTGGCTCTTCCAGCAAAGCCTCAGTAATACCAGACCTCATCAACAACTCTTGATACATTTTGTCTCCTCTTTACCATTCTGTCTCTTGCTAAGAATAAAATTCAGACTAAAATTTTTAACAGACGGATTCATAACAGCTTGTGCACCAGGACACGTTTGGCAGTACGTGTCTGACAGGATTTTTTCCACCTCTTAAAAAAATTCTGCTAAATATTCATGCATTCCTGAAAGAAACCTGATTCTTGGCCAAACCAAAGCTTGTTAGCAGTCAGAACAGGAGGGCTGCTTCGTCCTTGCTGCACCTCTAATCCCTACAGGTTTTGCTTCACACCTGGTCTCTGCAAACAGATGCTGTCAAACTCAAATTACTGCACTCTGGAAATGGCTCATAACCTGAGATATTGCCCACTCATTGATTTTTCTTTTCTTTCTTTCTTTCTTTTTTTTTTTTTTTTTTTTTTTTTTTTTTTTTTTTTTTTTTTTTTTTTTTTTCTGGAAACATGTATTTTGAAGTATTCTGTAGACTTTGTAGTTTGAAAAAGTTTTTATAGATTTTGAAACCGTCTATTAAAGGCTGAAAAAATGCCTGTGCTTTTCAAAACAAAGCATGATTTTTTCTTTTGACACACAGCTCACAATTGTATTTGGTATTAATGAAAAACACATTTTATTTTACTCCACATACTGAAAATACAACAAAATAATTTTGAGATGAAATATTTTGAGAAAATTTTGAGAAGAAATATTATTAAAAGAATGTAATTTGACTAAAGACATTTTCATGTCCTTTCAGAGAGACAGCTCTGAGGTCAGAGTAGCTTTCTCAGGACTTTTTCCATTCTAGTCCTGAAACCCTCCCCGGACAGAATCTGCATTAGGTCTTTGGGCAGCTTATCCAGTACCTGATTGGTATCATGGGCAAAAAATTAATGTTTATATTACATCTGAAGCTTTCCTGTTTCAACTCAAACCCGGAGACCTTCGTTTTTCTACCAGGCATCACTGTGTAGTTCCAGGCTCCACCTTTCTGACAGTCTCTCTGTTGGTATTGGAGATGATGTTAGGTGTCCAAAGCCATCCGCTTTCCAACTGAACCTGCCCAGCTCCCTCAGCCCCTCCTCACAGGTACAGTGCTCCAGCACCGAATATCATACTGGTCCTACACTGAACTTTCTCTGGTTCATCAATGACTTATTGTATTGAAGATCCCCAAACTGGTCAGAGTATCCAAACATAGTCTAACGAGCACAGCAGGGGACTTTAAAAGAAGAAGAGAACTGGGCGCATATTCTCTGATCCTTCCCTAATTTTGGAGGCTAGTGGCATCCAATGGACTAGAGTGGGTTGGTTCCCAGTCCCTGCATCCTGCAGTTATGCACTCCCCAGGTGCATGCTTACTATGCTTCTCAATGGTAAATTCATGCTGGAAAATCAGACTGGTGACACCATGGCATCTTCCAAGCCATCCAGATTTATGGCTTCAGAGCCAAAGTGCTGATCAGAAACACCATGTATTAGTCATAATCTTATCAAAAATATTTTATTTATGAAAGTAACAATTATACTATACAACCTATATTGGAAGTACATTTACTAGAATAAATTGCTAGAATAAATACAGGCAATTAATTCATTTTTTATAGAATGAGAGGATTTATTTGACATTTGAATGTTAACCCAAGCTTTAACTTACATCATAAATAGTTAAAAGGCATAGTCAATTTTTTTTTCTGTTTCTTTTGCATTTTTTAATACTGTTCTATTTTTAATCAACACGAATCAACTCTCCAATCATTAACATAAAATTAGTATGACTTTCAAGCAATCATGTACCTCAAGATAATCAAACAAATAAGGTAGTGTGTGTGCAGTTCATTCTACAGCAGAATCTACTCATGTCTGCATAAAAAAGAAGCTGAAAATGCTTCTAAGTTCTTTAAGCATCATATGCTGATTTCTGCTTTACCACAGTGCTTTAAATACCAGAATCTAAAAAGGGCATATATCTGTATGCAGCTGGCATTCTGCTGCTCTTTATAAAGTGTATTAGGGCTCAATGCCACATTCCTTTGGCTGGTGAAGGACTGCAGAATTTAGTCCTGAGTGTTATTTCAGAAAACCATGGTCCAAAATAAATGTCCAAGATGGACTATTAAGCACCAAGGAAGTGATGAATTTGCTAAGACCTGATGTTTTCGGATACAAGTTGGCTTCTTTTCTGGTAGATATGCTTTAGTCAGGCACAAAATATTGGGCTTAGTACAGGCGCCTGTATTACATTGGATGTCAGAGAAGGTGATGTTTATATCATTTGTAAACTCTATGAAGGGCACTGCAGGCGTTTTGTAGTAAGGCACCCACATTTTGAAAGTGTTGATATGTTTTCCTTTCATGTATTTTTTTAACTAAAAAATCAGAACTAGAAGATTACAGCCATCAGTGAAGTCAACAGTAGTTTGGGGTATCTGATATTTCTTCAGATGAGAAGCATGTGGTTCTTCAGATCATATGTAACATCAGTGGGAGCTCTCCTATAGCAACGCCTTTTCCAATGCTATCAAGGCCTGGCTTATCAAATGGCTATTGTGCATGCCAGAGATATTATGCTCTCAGCAAAGTAGATTTCCCTATTAGAATGTTATCCAAAACAAAACAAAGCCCCAGATTGCACATATCTACCCCTTTGGCCTTTTTTTTATGGACAAATATGCTTGTATTCAAAAACTGACAATGTTGGGCCTTTCCTAATAAATGTCTTCAAAGAGTACATTTAAATACTTTTTCACAGAAATAACCATCAGTTGCAAAAATGCAGAGGGATTTTTTTATGCTTTCTTTTGTGAACAATATTAAATCAGCATAATTCTGGGGGAGAAATTGATATTTTTGTTTCCCAAATATATTTAAGGAGGCTAAAGAACAAAATGTTGGGGAGGCAACTTTTTTTGGCAGATAGTAAAATATAAAATATGTGATTTAAAAAAAAAAAAAAAAGTTGGCTTAAAAATACACACACACAAATAATACAATAATATAAAAATACAGCTCAGCCAATGGCCTCTTAAAATTTACCTTTGGCATTACATTTGGCAGCCTAACACAAAAGACCCTTCCTATAAAAAGAACTATAAAAAAGAGCAGTTCATAAATTAGGTTGCAAGGGGCTGTAAGATTCCTTTTCTTGATTCTCCGAACTCCTTTTCTTCCTGTCCACACATAAGCATGACCAGTGAGGTATATAGAACGTAACACTGTCAGGCGTATGCACAATCAAAAAGTGCATAAACAAAGAAGTTCTCCCATTTTCATGCGAACAGGTTGAAACGGTGTGGTTTGATTCTTCCCCCTTGGAAAAAAAAAAATCATTTTCTATTGTTTTTGATTTTCTTACTTTGGCAGGATGAAAATGAACCCAGAGGAATATAAATGTCCTATTCCCAGCAGCAGTGATCCATTTCCCTTGGCAACATTCGTCCCATGCCACAGATACTACAAGGTTCTTGGGTTGCTCTAGAACTCTCTGGGTAACTTCCCACAGAAACATCATACGTCTAGCACCATGTCATAGTGTTGCTCTTTCTTCCGCCTGCCACATTTGGTGATAAGAACCAAGTACAAAGTCAATAGAAGAACCCAGTAACATGCATAGAGGATTGTACCAATGACGAGAACTGTTGTTTTTGACTCAGAGAATGGCTTTTTTGATTCCTTGTAGATAGTGAAAATTACGCCACCTAGGAGGATTGTAAACCAAATGGAGACTGGAATGAGTCCTATAAAATTAACTACAATGGTTTTTCTTCCTGATGTGCCCCACCCTGCTTTGTTTATCGTGGCAATTGCAAACATCTTTGCTGGCAGTAAACTTGACATATACAACACTGAGTAGAGTGACATGAAAACCATGACAATGTTGCCCCTAAGGAAGCTGGCAAAGGAAGACTTTATCAGGCCCACTAACTGAACTGTCAACAAGAAAAGGAGGATGTTCCAGATTTTTCCCCTGTAGAAGAGCTGAATGACTGTAGCGATAAGGAAGAAAGGAAAGAATCCAGTGATTACAGCTTCATAGGTCATCCACAAATGGTGCTTGTGGAACCACATTGCATTATAAAGCCACTCTCTAAAATATGATTTACTCCAGCGGGTCTGCTGATTCAGCCACCTGAGATACTCTATTGGTGTTTCGGTAAGGCACTTGGATCTAGCTGTGTATTTTGTTGCATAGCCCAGACTTAGTACTCGGTTAGTTAGATGCCTGTCATCTCCAAAGCTGCACTGGGAGCCCATAAATTCTTGATTGTACCAATCTTCCACAAATTCATGGAGTAAAGAGTTTCTGTACATTCCCAGAGGTCCGCTGATGCACTGCACGCAGCCAAAATAGGACTGGCAGGCTCTTTCTATGTTAAATGCCATCCAGTATCTCACGCTGCTCAGAAAGGAGATCCAGGAATCATACTTGTTCAAAATCTGCAAAATACAAGAAGTTGGCATTTTAGATGAGCTCTTGAGAAGGATATTATACACATTAGATCAAAAAGGAATTTGCTGAAACTGAAGTACTGATAGCCAAAATATAAGGGGAACCTCACTCTTAGGCCAAACATGTTACCATCCTTACACAGTCCAGGACACTGACAGGAAAGGCAAGGTAAAGCTTTCAAGAGGCTGTTCCACAAAAATGATCACTTTTCTCACAACCTTTCCTCTTCTCCACCAAGAAACTTCCTTCCTGGCTCATTTTTCCTTTCTCTTCACCCCCAGTTAAGTACCTGCTGGGCTCAGCCTCTCCCAGGAGATGGAGAAGTCCAAAATGTGGCTTCTTGCCACAGCTTTGCTTCTCACAGGACTTCTTTCAGCCCTCCTAGAGCTATGCCAGGATATGAGAGGCTGAACACATGGTCTTTGGCTTACATTTTTGGTCTTCTAAGGCTAGCCCTAGATGCTTGATCCTGGACTATGATCCCATATGTGACATTAGGGCCTCTGGGGAACAGCCTTGTTTGAGTTGACACTGGAGTACTGGCATTGTTATTATGCCTCAAGACATACTATGATACTCCAACAGTCATGCTTCAGCTCATATAAACAGCTCAGTCCTCCTTTTCATTTTGCCCCAAAGCTCACCTGAAGCTCAAGCATCCACTTAAAATGCTGTATATCTATAATCTGAGTCTGAACACTGAGTGGAGGTAAAGGCAAGTGCAGGTGCCCAAGTCTTCACATCCACATTTTCAGCTTGGTTTGTGATTAGACCAGGGGACAAAGATATTCAGGCTTCTGTAGAAATCTTAATTTCTGGAATTAAGAGCCACATACCTGAAATACTTCTGACTACTGGGACATTCTTCAGTAAGTGCTTGCCCATATAGATGGCCTTTTCTCCTTTGTTTCACATAAAAGCCTGACTGGACTAAGGAACCAATCCCAAGGCCAATTGGAATGTTCATATGCATATTTTTTTTATAAACTGTAGCAGAAACATTTGTGTTGGAAGGAATGAACAGCTGAAAATCCTCACAGAAGTGGAGCTGGGTTGACTTCAGGGCTTCACATTGTCCCATTTGACAGAGATGCATAGGAAACTCAAAAATACGTAGAGTGCATAGTGCACTGCATTTCTAAAAGGCTTTATTTGTAACAATCTTTGGCTGCGAATAGTAGTATTAGCAAGTAAGGCCTGAGGTGCTGGACTTGGCTTTGGGAGGGCTGTTCTCTGTTCTCTGGTGCCCTAAAGCTTTTCTGTGGCACCTCGAACAAAAAATCATGTCCAGATACTCAAAGATTCAGCAACAGGCCTGACAGTCCTAATGCCTCATTTTTTATGTATTTGAGAAGAATAATACTTATCTGCTTTCTATGAGTGTTAAAATCACAGTGCTCTTACCTGTGAATTAGCATTCTGTTCAATAGATAAAAAGGGCAAGGTCTTACAGGAACCTTTGTGATGATACCACTGTGTATTCAATGCTATTCCAGACATGGAAAAGTATTGCAGTACAAATATTTGCTGAAACTCCCCAGTGTACTCACCTGCACATCGCCTCCAACTCCTCCAACCATTGGATCTTCTTCTAAGACCTTTACCATCTCCACTGATGAAGCTGGATCGAGCATTGTGTCTGAATCACAGACCTACGAGAAAGACAGAATCAAGAACAAAAATGGTTTGGTTAAGGAGTACACTTGAACAGAGAATAAAAATCACTTGAATGGTGAGTGTCTCTATAGGCATATTCTCCTGAATGCAATTAAATCTCTCTTTGGAGTCTGCATTGATACTTCTTAAAGGCCATTTGTATCAGGCAGCAAGAAGTGCTGCTGAACGAAACTGAGTGCTTGTAAGGGCTATGCACGCAAACAATCCTCTCTTCTGTATCAGCTCGATTTGTTTTACTGGCACGCTGGGCTGACAACTTTGAATAAGAGATGCTCTCAGAGATGGGGCACTGCAGAGCAAGACAATGTTCGTGGGTGTGTTGCAGATTTCTGCTGAGCTCTGACATAGGGTTCCCCTGTGTTGGCTGCATGGTTTTAGTACCCTGGTTAAAAGTCTCCTGCTGCCCAAAGAGGGAAGGAGTGAGGAGTTAAATTCCAGACGCTTGTTAAGAAAAAAAAAAAAAAAAGGAAAAAGTCAGCTAGGAGTCTGGAAAGAAACCTAATAGTTCTTTCACTCATGGAAGGATTTAGAAATTCATGTAAAATATGTATTTTGGATTATAGAACAAACTCATCTGTACATTTGGATGTATGGTGTGTTACTAATAGTGCAAGGATTTGAGATTTGATGTACAGAAATCATTTGCCATTTTCCTCCAGCATTCTTATAAAAAATATCTAAGTAAGACCAGAAGGAGCAAGTCCCAAAGTGCAGTACTCCATGAGACCAAGGCAGAAATGGATGAGATACACAGGCTTTTTAACTACACAAACACTCCCAATCAACTAGACACTGTGTACATTAAGAATTGGCTTGCCCCTGGAGAGTAGGAGGGCTCAGACAAGCTGGCCTCTCTGAAAGGCAGCTGATGCTGCTTTCATTTGCTGGGAGACTAATGACATAAGCTGCGGCCTTTTTAAAACAAGTGGATGTCTCCTTGTCCGAGCTGCTGCTGAAAGCAGTTCCCCAATAGTCTGTGAACTCATTTTTTAGATGCCCTGACCTCCCTGGGTGGGAGGTTGTCCCAGAAACACTCTTCTGGCTGGCTAGATTCTGCCCTACAAATTCTCTTCCTCTTCCCACTTAATCCAGAATTGATATTCCTGTGATTTCAGGTGGAGACAGTAGAGGTAGAAGTCAGTGGCGCTGCATGAATAAGCTATTAAGTTAAATCCCAGCAAGGCTTCATATCAGGACTTTTAATTTTGGCATCTTTTCATCCAACCTTTCAACTCAGCCTAAGCTCCCTTGCACCATGGGAGCATAAGTATTTATTCCTGCTCTGTCAGGGGAGGAGAGTTTTTAGGGATTCTGTTATGGGCTAGACTTGAGTTGAGAGGTTACAAGCAAGTTTGCTGAGGGCACCAAGTTAAGTTTTGCAGTTGACACCATAGGAGGTAGGGGACACCTTCTAGGGGGACCTGGACAGGCTAAAAGAGTGAGCACACAAGAACCTAATGAAGTTTAAGAAGGCCAAGTGCAAGGTGTTGAATGACTTTTTACATGATCTGATAGTGAGAGGACAAGAGGGCATGGCTTTAAACTAAAAGAGGGGAGATTTAAGTTAGATGTTAGTAAGAAATTTTGTACTCAGGTTGGTGAAGAGGTGGAACAGGTTGCCTAGAGAGGTTGGGGATACCCCATATCTGGAGGCATTCAAGGTCAGACTGGATGGTGCAGTCTGATTAGCAGTTGGCAATCCTGCCCATGGAAGGGGAGTTGTAACTAGATCATCTTTAAGATCCCCTTCAACCTAAGCTGTTCTATGATTCTACAATTCTATGATAATCAGGCTGCACAGCTTGTGATGCAGCTCAGCGTCTGCCAGAATGTTTCCTCTCCATGCTCACTTGGAGGCTGAAAGGCAAAAGCTGATGAGAGCTCCCATATTTCTGTAAGCATCTCCAGCTCCCATTAACTTGGAGCATCCAGCTCCTCTCCTTGGAGGACTCAGCCTGGGGAGCACCTTTGTAACCTGGCCAGCTTTGGTGGAAAGCTGTCATCAGTGACAGCACATGGTGATAGGTAGCATTAATTTTGATGAAGGGAAGAAAGGATGAAGGGAGGAAAGGATGCCTGTATTTCTGTCTGGGACTTCCTAAGCAAAGCTGTCACTGAGTGCTCAACATGGCAAATCTGCTATTTATTGGTATTCAGGGCTCAGGCAGACACTTGTCCCATTTCTTGTGGCCACAAGTGGTCAGATTGGGTCAGTCTCCTACCCAGCTCCTCGGATTTCAGTCCTGTGCCTGTCACTCCATGTGGCTGAGCAATCCCCACCCACCAGATGCATTTATCTATAGCAGAGAAACCTGCCATAAGCAACACTGCTATTATGAGATGAGGAATATTGAAAACACAGAATTTATTTACAAATGACCAGCATGTGTCCAGGACATGCCAGCACTGTGGACATGTCTGCGTTCCTGGGACAAGCTGTCATTTTCCATCTGGATGAGGTTTTTCTAAGTGAAAAGAGGACATACTTTGAGAAAAGCAACTTAGGAACCTGAATGAAACACACTGAGGGCTGGCCAGCCGGGGCTGGCCCAGCACAGTCTAAGAGCCAGTTTGCCATATTTCCACATAAGGGCAGGGTGACCTAGAAATTACCGCTGTGGGTCACAGAGTTGCATGAAAGGGACACCTGACCTTGCATGCTTCTGCCTTCAGCTTTGAGCAAGCTGTTCAAATGCTTGCTGCAACCAGTGGTCATTCAAAACCAGGATGTTCCACGGAGCTCAGACTGTGCTGGGTGGTCCATGCAGGTACTTGGATCAAGCCAACAAGAACTGCACCCTGACTGTACTAGCCAGCTTTGGCTTCACCTTCTTCAGAAGGGAATTAAAGCCTTCACAGTGATCTCAGGTATTTAGTGAGAGTCTGCTAGTGAGCAACATCTTGGTTATCCACACTGACACGTCTGCTTATGATCACCTGCTTTTAGGCTTAAAGTGCATTTAAGGACTGTGAGGACCACAGTGTCAGGCACGGGCAGTCATACTGACTGGTCTACTTTTTAAAGTGGCTGATCATTGATGCAGATTACTCAGCTATTAAAATGTGGGGCCAATTTAAAGTAATTTAGTCCTAAAGATATTCCTAAATAGCTGTGCAAAAAATCTCAGCCTACACTAATTCACAAAACAGAGCCATATGTCACTGCACTGCATCAGGACTGTGGCCAACCAGAGCCACCAAGGCAATGCATTTGTAACATGGATGTGACTGCGACATCAGTCATCAGTTAGTCCCCAACACATTCATCAGAACTTCTGAGCCAGGTCAGGAGTGCTAATTGACAGAGAGACCAGAAACATCTCTTCCGTTTTCTTAGTTTATGGTATGACTGTTGAAAGAGAAACACTTTTTCCAGGTTCTCTGAGCAAATGCAAGGGCTGGACTGAGAGAGGAAAGTAGTCATGAATCTGTTTCCTCTCTGCCTTCATTCTCTGCAATTTGATACTTCTGTGGGAAGTGATTATAAAATGATGTTAACACAGAAAAACAGCATTTTTGATCCTGTCACAGTCCCTCGCAGCACAAAATCAAACTGCAGACAATGGAGAATTTAAGTCCATTGTTTTTGGATAATAAATCAGTTAAAGTTTTGGAAATGCTCAAGAATGAGTTTTAAATTGTTGCCTTGCTTTTAAGCCTCCAGTAACTCTTGAAGTCCTGAACCAGGGTGTTTCCTGACACTATCCTGACAGCTTATCGACTGTCCCACCAGAGGGGAATTCTGGAGGCAAATTAATGTGCTGATGTCAGGAGAGGGCAGGAAAGGCTGAGGGTGATTAATTAGGAAGACTGTCTCATAATCAGCAGGATTTAGTGGAGTAAATCTCACTGGTCTTGATATACAACTAATATACTAATATACAACTAATATACAACTAGTGATCCTCAGGGTCTGGCCTAGTTCTATGCGCCTCCCTCCACTCATGGCCTCCTGGACTTCCTGCAGTCTGTTTGCCTGAGTGAGGAGTGCTTCCATGTGTAAGGCACAAACACAGAAAATCTTTCAAGGGATCCAAGGCAGCTGGAAAGAAATGTGTCTCTGCTGCTTTGGAAATGGGGAGAGAGGACTCAGCCTAATTCATTTTTAAGTGAACAGTGTCATAAGGGCTTTAAAGGCCAAGTCGCAGTGAGTGAGGTAATGCAGCTGTAAGTGATGAAGCAAAAGCTCCTTCAGGCTTTAGCTGAAGAAATCTTTCTTTCAAGACTGCACGTTGACCTTTTTTATTGAATACTCTGCACAGCCCTCAAAAGCTTCAAAATACCCCCATCTTTTTCACAGAATCTACCACTGAGATATTCCCTAGTGGCAGCAAATACTTGTCTGCCTGTTCTCATATGTGGCCACTGAAATTCTCTCAAAATAAAACTTTACCCAAGATCTAGACTTACAGGAGCAGTGAGGGGGTCTTCAGGAGGCCACTGGCTTTGCCTGAGGCAAAACCACAGGGAGAAGTACTGCAACCTGAGGAGATATTCCGGATTTCTCCAGTAGCTGGTAGATTTAACATATTCATAGATAGGCTGACCATTTTAAAAAGTAGCAAAATGCACTTTTAACGGTCAAGCTGTTTCCAAACAGACTGAAAGGAGCACTGTGTTCATCGGGGACTAGGATGGCCTCTAACATGCGGCACAAAGTATACAAAAGCTGCTTTCTTTCAAAGTGTGTTTGAATTGGCACTGACCTGGTGCTTTAATACCTACCTGTACATAATCCACGCTTCTCCCCAGTGCTTTGAATGCTGTGTACATTACTTCTCTTTTTCCACCCCATTTCTGCATGATGCAAACACTTTTGTTGGACAGGACCAGCTGAGATACGTGCTGCATGCTCTCTCTGTGAGACTCCTCCGTCTCACCTGGACCTTTGTCATGGAAGTTGTTACTCCAGATATAAGTGGCAGATTTGTCCCTACCCATGATTTCAGTAAAAATGTCCATCATGTAAACGTCGTCTTCCGAGTTCCCATCAATGACCATAACAACTTTAATTCCAGGGTAGGTCAATCTTTTCACAGAAAGTAAACATTTTCTTAAGTAGTCAGGATCCTCTTGATACGCAGCAATACAAAGGGCAACAGTTTTGTTCAGCTTGATTGGAGTCTCTAGCGACCGCTTCATTTTCCTGTGCTCTAGGTAGGCAAACAGGCTTTGGATGATGAGATGTGATGCCAGGATAGCACCATAGAGTCCAAAGGAGAAGTAGTAATTGTCTGTTTGGATAAACTGGTAGCCCACAATGTAAGCAGCGGTGATTCCCAGCAGGAGGGACACTCCAAAAAGTGTAGTTCCAAGTATTCTCAGGATACATATAAACCTCTCACAATACATCTGCAAAAAAGCATGGAAACTGTTAGCAGAGCTGCCACTTCCCACTTTGTTCAGGGGCACACATGGTGTCAACACTGAGTTCAGCACCAGCAGATGCACCACATGCTTCTGGTCATGTCGTGGATTTACTACATCATCTGTTCAACTTATATCTCCTCTGCAGTATTCTTTACACGTTAAGAGTCAAATATGCCTTAATATTCCAGGTGGGTTCTCTACACTTCATAATGTCCTCAAAGAAAGTGCTGCCTTTGTCAGGATTTTAATTTGGCAGCCTGGAGAAAATGAGATTCTGTCATATTACCCTGAAGGGGTTGGAAAAGGGGCTCTCAGGCCACTGCTCAATTCATCTAGTCATGGGCGGGAGGAACAGCTGAACATCTGTGCAGCCTCTCCTTGCCCCCCAATTTGTGTCATGACTGCATCCCACCCTGAATTGCGTCTCTTGCTTAGTTATGTTTGCAAAAAATATTGGAAAGACATTCTTAAAACAGATGTCTGAATGTATTTATATTTTTTTAGACAGATGTCTGACTATATTTGTAATTTATATTTATACTATCAGACAAGGTCTTCTCAATAACACTGCAAAATGTGTTATTCATACATTTGTATACGTAGATATATATGCATGTGCAAGCATGAGTGTGTAAGGCTATCACTTGACAGAGATTAAATGTGTCTGCAAAACACATTAATTTAGGAGAGTCAGGGCTTTACTTTGGACTCTGAAATTCATTAGAGTATCAGCTGTGACAACTTCTGCATGCATAGCCTACCTGGCTATAAAATCTTTCAGGCTAAGCTCTGGCAGTGGAGGAGCTAGCAGGCATGGAAAATGCTCAGTACTCTCAAAACAAGTGATGTGGACAACATGTGGACAGAATCAAAGAATGGCCTGGGTTGGAAGGGACCTCAAGGATCATGAATCTCCAAGTCCCCCACTGCAAGCAGGGTCACCAACTTCTACATTTAATACTACACCAGGCTGCCCAGAGCCCCATACAACCTGGCCTTGAACACCTCCAGGGACGGGGCATCCACAACCTTTCTGGGCAGCCTGTTCCAGCACTTCACAACTCTCACAGTAAAGAACTTTCCCCTGACACCCAACCTAAATCTTCCCTGCCTCAACTTAAAACCATTTCCCCTGAAAGGCAGGTCAGCAGAATATACTTGGCTGCTTTTTGTGGATAGTCACATTAACCATTTTATACAACAAGTTTCTCATAATTACAGGAAAGTTAATGCTAGTACATTTGACCTTAGGGATATAAAATAGATAATGTCTGTTTAAGGCTATGCCAGTAAGCACACTGTAAGTCAAAGAATCTGAAGCACATGCTTGAAAATTTTGCTGAATTTGAGCCTCTCCAAGTAATAGACTTAATGTTTGTGTTTTCTTACTCTTATTCATATTTTCCCTGCTGCTAACATCTTGCTTGTCTACAGATAATGTGTTTCATCATCTATTGGCCAAAACTGAAGCTGGAACTGCACTTCATTACATCATGTAGGTTTTTAACTCTTCCTTGTGAAATATTCAGGGAAAAAAAAAACCAACAAAAAAACACTACCGAAGTGCAGCAGCATAGCTGTCACCGATTATATTTCTGTCTGACATGTTACAGGCTTAGAAAGACAGATCTACTTAGAAAATAAAAATGAGAATAAAGTCTGAGACTGCAAAGACTATGCTTTTTTTCACAGGCTGTTTAGGGTCTTAAATTTCAGGACAGGAAGAAGTCTCTTAAGTGTATATTTGGAGACACTGTTAAAGAAATTGGACCCTATCTCCAGGACTTCCTTGAATACTTATGACTGGGATCTGACAGGTGTTGTAATCACCCGACAGCACCAGTCCCTGCTCTGGCCTGTCTGAAAGTCTTCCACAATGAGGGGTCATCAAGAAGCCTAATAAAAGACAGCTTATATGAGCCATTGCTATAGGTGAATTAAATGCAGCGCCCAAAATAGATGGGCTTTAGAAAACAGATTAAGTAATGGATCTCCTCTAGATTACCTTGAAGTCAAATAGCCTGTGTGTTTATTAATCCCCCCGAGTACGCAGAAGGTCACCAACATCAAGGTGAATATTTTATTAATGGTGCAGTTGTACTAGGCTTTCCCATTTGGGGTCCACAACTTCTCTTCCCTCGCCAGAAATAGAACATGCTTATTAGTGAGTAGGTCTGAATTCTGCTTACATTAGGAATTGTATGACTGAAATCAATGGACCACTTGTATGGGTATAGCTCACAGGATTTAGATTAAGATCTGGAGCATATACATTTGACTGACTATACGTTTGTATCAGGCTTCTTTTTATATTAATTTATTACTGCTTTTTCTTTTCCTATATAGTGCTTCTGCACCAAAAGAAAAAATAAATGAATTCTCTGATCTTGTCATTGCAGCACAGTTTCTCTCCTTCCCAAAACCCACTCTTTTAAGATCAAGAGATGGATTCCTGGTCTTAATAAAATAGTATTTTTTTTTTTTTAATCCTTTAACTGTCAACCTTGGGAAAATAAACAGTGTTTTGATCTAAATTCCTGGCTTTCATCAAAGAAACCTTCCCCTTTGTATATGCAATTGAAACATGTCTTTTAACTGACTGAATCTCAGGCAAAGTCTGGAAAAATTGCTCAATATTCTCAAACTTTAGCACGTGATCTATTGATAACTTGCCCAGCAGAATTGATATGTATCAGCTTGAATGTGCCCAAACAACAGCAAAGAAGCCAAAAACTCTCCACCCTTCTCAAATAACTGAGCCAAGAAGTTAAGAGGAAATTATGTTTGTCCAAGTCTGTGGCCAAAGATGAATTGCTGAGTCAAATAATAGCACTGAGTGTAGGAATAGCCTCATCAGAGATTTTAAGATCAGATAGTACTGTTGTGAAAACCTAGACTGGCCTAACACAGTGAAGTGTAAAAGGACATCTTAGTAATACATCAGTCAAAATTTTCCTGAACTTGTCACACTAAGATAGAATCAAGAATTATCAGAGAAGCAGTGCATGGTACTGCGGGTGAAAATTGCAAGCCTAAAATAACACCGTGCTGAGTCAAGATACACGTGTCAAGTGCTTGGTGAAGGATAAACACAGATTTTAACTTTCAAAACCACAATTATTTTTCAGGCATTTCCTAAATAATCACTCTGAGTGCTGGCAATATTCTTTCAGCCAAATTGAAATGCTTTTCTTCAAAGTTGCCATCACTAGAGCCCTGTTCAACAGCTGACTACTTAGTAGATGTACAGTACACACCTCATATTATCAGTGCAGGTCAGGCTCCTTTTGGAGGTGCTAAGTCTCCCATGCACTGCATGGGAAGCTTGAGACAGGACTGCTAATGCTGCTTTGCAGTTTGGACATCTAAATCCTTGATGAGCAAATCCATCAAACCTTGTGGTGCTGAACCAGTATATGCTTTAGCACAGACTCTGCAAAGAGGGTCAACGTTGGTACACACACAATGACGGAATGTAAAGAGGTTTCTAAGTATACTATTGAACAATTTACTGTCTTGATTTTCCAGCGGGTGAGTTCTTCACAGCCCACCTAGCAGAAATGAAACATGAAAAGCGGTAATGGCCTCAAGTTGGCCAGGGGATGTTCAGGTTGGATATTAGGAAAAATTTAGTCTCTGAAAGAGCGGTGGGGCACTGGAACAGGCTGCCCAGGATGGTAGTAGAGTCCTTGCTCCTGAATGTGTTCAAGAAATGTGTAGATGTAGCACCTGGGGATATGGTTTATTGGGCATGGTGGGAATGGGTTGATGGTTGGAATAGCTGATCATGGAGATCTTTTCCAACCTTGACAATTCTATGATTCTAATGCTATTTAGGCTGTTGCTGATTTAGTGACACACATTTTGGATCAACAAGCAGTCCAGAGTATAAACATGTCCTGTTGTGACTGTACAAGAGGAAGCAATAAATGTGTGTGCCTCCATCAAGGCTCTAATGAAGGGTATAACCAAGAAATAAATCCCTGCAAGTATTTGACATCAAATTCCATCTAGTGAGTTATTTAGCATTGGCATAATGACAGGAAGACCCAGAGATCGTATTTTTTGGCATGCTTGTGATGAAAGAGAACTTACTCTACATTACTGTCTTCTAATATTATTTTCATAAAAAATTTAAGTTAACAAGAAGTTGACTAATATATACACATAGTGACTGGTAGAATAAGTCTAACACTAAATATACTGTGTTTTCACAATCTGAGCAGTGCCTTAGATTCCAAATTAAATGAATGTAGCAAAATATGCTTTATTCTTTATTCTGGCAAATATTTAGTCCAGCATCTCACTGCAGTTATAATACACAAATCTAACCTTAATAAGATCAAGACACCTGATGGAAATTCAGTAGGTTCTAATGCCCTGATTGATACTGCATACTTAGCAAAGAACACTGCTGACTGCCAGGGTAAAATAGCACCTGTCTCCCTCACCAAAATTATATATCACAGTCTGACCAAATGGTTTTTAATCAGACTTCATGCATGGGTGGTGAGGCACTGGCACAGATTGCCCAGAGAAGCTGTGGTGCCCCATCCCTGGAGGCACTCAAGGCAAGGTTGGATGGGACCCTGGGTAGCCTGACCTGGTGGAAGGCAGCCTTGTCCATGGTGGGGAGTTGGAAGCACATGATCTTTAAGGTCCCTCCAACCTAAGCCATTCTAAGATTCTATGATTCTATGATCCCTGAGACTAAGAACACCTGGACATAGTATATCCCTTTGCAAAGTCAGGAGACAAAGAGGAAAAAATATTTGAAAGAAATACACAGCATACAGGAAAACATATATTCAGAAAGTCTATGTGTAGTGTTGTCTGTACATACCAGTATTATCTGTAGCCTCTTATTTATACTGCACTAGCTGGTGTTGCTCAAAGAAGCAGTCAGGTGGTGCCTTGCACCTGCTAACACAGGTTTGGTACCAGTGACTGACTGGAGGTCAGAATGAAATCAGGCTTGCTTGCAACACGTGGGGTGCAGCTCATCCATCATCTATTTAAAAGACTGTCTGTCTCTTGTGTATAACATTCAAACATATCAGATAGGCCAATACTACTGGAACAGATCTGCAAAGAAGGAACATGTGGCACTAAGGGCCCAACTTCCACCCTCCATACACTGCCCATTCATACCCTGAACCAAGTCTAATCAGACCCCATGGATTGAAATGCCACTTGTGCCTAAATGGTCTGCTCTTGTGGTGCACCTTGCAACTAGTTTCATTCAAGAGGAATTCAGCATGTGTGCTCAGTGTCACTTTTCAATTCAATCCAAAGCACGAAGAATTCAAACCAGCCTCGTGGATGACCTGCACGTCAGCCTTGCTTTCAAATCTTTGTTATAACAAGAACTGCTGAGCAGTATGAACATTTAGAAGTGTCTCACTGTTACATGCCTGTACAGAAGCTGAATTCTTGATTGCCTACTGGTCATGGTCCTCTGAAGCCTCATGCTTTGGCTTCAGTATAACACATAGCCATCTCATTAAAGAGAAGTGTGCACTTAAATATTTTGCTGAAGAGAGAAATCAGTGGATAATTTATATTACAGTTCTGTAGTGCACGCGTAAAGAAAACATTAAAATTTCTTTGTAAAATTTCTGGAGTGTTCATGATAAAATTATGTATGTACATTTGATGTATTTATTATACCTATTAATCTCCCGTATGAAAATTGATCATTGCTTAACCATTGTATTTCTTGAAGGGAGAAAACTAGAGAGAGTGGATCAGGACTTGAACCACTGGCATTTTGTTCCTAATACTGCCATTCACCTTCTGGGTGTCCTTAGGCAAATGAATTCAACTCTCTTTGCCTCAGCTTCCTCACCTGTAAATGGGAATCAAGACCATGCTAGAGGCTCTTGGAGGTCTATGGAGCTCCTCATACGGCTGAGGTTACTGATGTGTGTTGTGCATGTGGTGTTATTCTTCCTGGGTCACATGGGACCCAAAAATTCCCAATTTCCATAAAACTGTTCTTCTTTAAGAAAACCAGACTACTTACTTTTTCCCTTCCATATATTCACCTGAATGTGAAGATAGCAGGGCAGTCAGTTTTTCTACAGCACAAATGCAGCTCTTACTCTATCAGCAGGACGCCTGATATCCATGAGGTTTGCAACATAAGAGCTGACACACATGGGTGTATGTGTATGCTGTTACTTAGGGCTGCTTTACACACAGCCAAAGGAAGAGTTTCAACTTTTATAAACCTTAAAAAAACCTCATTCTTTGTGAGCATAATAGCATTAGCTTCTACAGATCAGCTGCTTGAATGGCAGTCATGTGTGCATGCAGCCCTTATGTGTTTATGTGGCCTTACACACATATACTCTGTGTTTAAACACAAACATTATCTGCTAGTAATCTTCATCCAATATTTAGAAACACTGAGCCTTATTTTGGTGGCAAAGTAAATCATTTATCTTTGAAGTACAAATGCTTCCAGGTACACAATAATTAGGAGCATCAAATAGCTGCCCAGAGTGCCTCTTCTGTTTTACAGTCTGCAGAGAGGAAACCAAGAAGTTACGCTACATCTGTATATCTTTACTGCAGCAGAGTTACCATATCTGGTGCTTTTGGTTATTTATCACTTCCAGATTTTGTCATGCCATTGATCTTCTGGAAAGGGCTCACATAAGACTAAAATTAACTCTGAGGTTAGGTTTAAAGTAAAGAACAAGGCTGGTAATGATGGTAAACTGTATCTGCACTCATAGTCTTTGATCAGCAAATCAAGTCTCCTGTCTGCTCAATGTATGTTCTCCCCTCAAGTGCCTAAGTTTATTCTCTAAGAGGTGTGAGTAACTGCTGTGTGGATTTCTCCATCGCATACATGGTGAGATGCTGGTTGTTCAATTAACCAAAAGAAAGCAACAAACTCATACTAAACGCTCTAAGAAATAATATGAAAAATAATTCATATTGATATTCAGACATTTCAGATTACAGTTAAAGCTGTTCTGGTTTAGAACAGATTTCTGGTTGCTGGTTCTGAAGTCCATGGACTTTTTTGGCACAGCGCTGACTCCATGCTTTACTCCAGTGAGTAAATATTTGTCTGATGTGCATAGCTCATTATCTTGTAATTTGTTTATCAAACACAGGTAATACCGTGTTTGACTTAGTCAAGTAGGCAGTCCCGTTGCATTGAATGAAAGAGTAATTTGCTGCTTTATGTACTAATCTCAAGTAGTTATTAAATGAAGCTGATATCTCATTTGTTTGCATACCATAGACATGACCAGCTGAATTTGCTGGTAGCACAGCCGGCATGGGGAGCTCCACTGAACCCGGCACAGCTGCTCTTTCTGCTGGAAAAACTTTTACCCAAGCGTTGTTGCCCTTGCGTGTAGGATGAGATTTACTAGAATGGAATACAGCCCTGGATTGACATGGTGACAACACCGGTGCTGGAGAAGTGGGTGAGAACCTATGGAAAGACAACCCATGAGGAGACCGTGAGGTCTATGGCGACTAAGAGCGGATGAATGCTAATGCCTTGTGAGATGTGGAGTCTCAACCAGCCCTAAAGAACAGATTCATAAAGCCTGCCAGGAATGGTGTAGTACGGTGGGCCCTCCCTTAAGCTCCCTTTCAGCCCTCTGTGCGTCTTTGCCAAGATACTAAGGCATCGAATGAAGCGCATTAAGGTTCCTAGCAACGAGAGCTGGTTGTCGGCCTCAGCTCCAGGCTGCAGCTCGGACAGGTGCAGTGAAAGGCCGCCGCCGACGTGGCCGAGGAGCCCTCGGAGCTCCCGGGGCCGGGCAGGGGCTGCGCGGCTCCTCCCGCCGCCGCGGGGCCGCTCCTGCGGGGGAACCCCGGCCCGGAGCCGCAGCCAAAGTGGGCGGCTGCGGTGCGTCACAGGGGGTGGGCGGGGCGCCGGGGGGATCCCCCGCGCAGCCACGTGGGGAGGGGGCTGTGGGCGGCCCCTGGCCTGCGGGACCCTCGCGGGTCGCGGCACCCCGCGGAGGGCGGGGAGGGGGCCGCGAGGCTGCTCCGCAGCTGCCTTCTCCGGGCGCACCCCGCGAAGGCCCCCTCCCCCCCCCAACCGCCCCTTCGGGAGCGACCGTTCCCGAGCGGCCCTCAGTGCCGTCGCCGAGCCTCGCGGTCAGCCCGGGTCCCGCCGGTGGCTGCGCGGAGGGGCGGGGGCGGCAGTCGGCAGCGCCGCTGGAAGTTCGCGGGCAGCCGCAGCTCCCGCCTCTGCCGTCCCTCCCTCCCCGCCCAGACACGTTGGTCGCGCTGTTTCTCCCCTCCGAGGCGGGACTTAGCCTTCCTCCTCGCTTCCCTTCCTGCGGTCCCATCCCTCCCGCCGCCGCTGTCACGTCCCCTCCCGACGCTGCGTGCGAGGGAAGGCGGCGGAGCTGGGGGCGGCTCTGCCTCCCCCCAGGGCGAATGCCTTCCGAACCTGTTGCTTGATCGATTTAACCGCTATTCATTTCACATTTTTTTTCTTTTTTTCCCTTCCAAACCGTATTGCTCAACTGTATCCTAAACGGATTACACGGAGGGAGGGGTTGAAGCTGAAAACCTCATTCATCCTCACTGCAGTCCTATTCATTGCTGGAATAGGTGTAGCATAGAGACGGTAAGATCCTCCCCAGCCCCACTCGTGTCTGGGGACCTCTTTCTGCCTTCCTCCCTGGAATTGTGAGGCTAAGAGGAGAGCGGCTTCTTCTCTGGGGCTGCCATAAGGGTGATGGTCAATCTCCTACCTTGTTTGTCCGGCTGTCCTTTGGTCATAGAGGGGCTCCAGCCAGCTGTGTGGTCTCACGTACCGTTGCTCCCGCTGAACAGTTTCCAAGTTTGAGGTAAAAGATCAAATCGCACTTTTTCAGGGACTTATTCAGAAGCTCAGGAATAAAAAATAATTAAAAAACGAAAATAATAAAAAAATCGCTTAAGGCTATTCAGTCCTACTCATTTTCTCCCACGTGTTTTCCCTATTACAATGTATTTGTCTTCAGTTTCTAGCTCAAAGTCGTGGGATTTTTTTTTTCAAATAATAATAATAATTAAAAAAAAAAAGTTAGAAATAATAAATTAGGAGTTAGTTTCTCGTGGTCGAAGACCTTGTTTCAAAGCCGGCTGGGCAGGAGCCTGGAGGAGTTGCACGGCAGCGGCTGAAAGTTTGGGATGTGCAGCATCAGATAAAGGCTCTTTGGTGATGCCTCGCGACCGCGTAGCTGCTTTAGTTCTCAGCAGCAGCAAACGGGTAATATTTTCCAGACGTCTGTTCCTTTCCTGCTGCTGCTGCTGCTTTTCTGCCTTCTCCACGTTATGGGGTCTTTTAACAAGTGAGACTTGAGTTGTTTTAATAGGCGGAGGATGGGAAGAGGAGGGGAGGGAACGAACTCCTGTAAGAAGGGAAAAAAAAACGCAACCACCCTGCCCATTGAAATGATCTCAGCCAAGGACCAATTCAATTTGCAGAGGCAGGAATTCAATTAGCTAAGTTGCACTTTCTGCAAAGAAACGCAATACACACCCATCGCCACCACCTGATTTCCTCTCCTCGCCCCGCACTTGGGGGGGGGAGCCCCCATTCCCCCCTCTCTGCATCTCTGGCTCTGGGGTGTGGGACTCGTCCCTCCCACCGCCGCTATTCTGCTGGGACAGCTTTGCAGCTGCTGGTTTTTATTAATAAGGGAATTGCCTCTATGAATGGATGAACTTTGCAGTTTCCAATTCTGCTTTACCCATTCACTCTCGGAAAGATTTGCTGTTAGTAACTACCCTGTAGAAATCTCCCCCGACAACAATACCCGTGTCACTCGCGTTAAAACAAGCCCGGAAACACGTTAGACGGTTTAAGAACTTGAAAAATGCTTTCGGATTTGTTAGTTTGTCTCTAGAATTAGTCGCTCAGTTCACCCAGAGCAGGGCACCGCAGCTTCCAGCCCAGCCGCTGCTGTCGGCTTCCAGCAGCTTTCACTGGGTTCCTTCTCTCCCTTAGCAGCATTTCCCCAGCTTCCAGGCCCCTACTTGAACTGATGGAAAAAAGGCACTAGGTGGCACTGTTGAAGTGAGCGGAGCGCGGGCAGCCCGCTTCTCGGAGCTGACGGATCTCTCCCCACCCGACCGGGACCCCCCCCGATGTTCGACTGCTCAGCCCGCGTTTCCTCAAGGCCCACAAAGCTCTCTGCTTGCAGGAGGTGAAGCCTACAAAGGGCATGGTGTGCAGACACCGTTGGTGAAGCTGGAGGGGACTCCTCGCCCCATGGTACTTCCTGCTGTTTTGGGACTCTCCCTGTATCCAAAACATGGTTGCAAATTGGTAGCTACCTGAAGTGGATGGAGGTTTTTTGGGTACCATGGTGAAGTATTCAGGTTTCTGGGTGTGCTCAAGAGGAAGAAGAGCTTTAGGATGTATGTGGAAGCTGAGCTGCTTGAGAAGCCTTGGTAGGATGAGAGGGAATGGCCTTAAGTTGCACAAGGGGAGGTTCAGGTTGGATGTTAGGAAAAATTTCTCCTCTGACAAAGTGTTCAGGCACTGGAACAGGCTGCCCAAGGAGGTGGTGGAGTCCCCATCACTGGAGGTGTTCAGGAAACGTGGAGATGTGGCACTGAGGGACAGTATTGACAATACTGGTGGTAAGTGGATGACTGGACTAGACGATCATAGAGGTTTTATCCAACCATAATGATGCTATGATTCTAAGCTGGCCTGCTTCAAAGAGCAAATCTGCCATTAATTTAGGCCAAAGCTTTGTAGCTGTTTTAACCTGGCAGAACCAGGGAAAGCAACTGTCTTACCATCTTCAGACTCCTCGTTCCTGCTTTTGCATTGTCTGTTCCCTATGTAAAGAGAACTGACCTAAGTCAGCCATCTGGGGAAAGGACATAGCAAAAAAGTAAGAACAAGTAATATGGGCAGGGGCAAAACTGCTTTAGGAATAAGTGTTTGTGATTGTTTGTAGTATCTCTTAGACAGGAGGGCTTAGCAAGCATGACAGACTTCTTGAGTAGACACCTAGACTACAGAGTGTTCAGGCATTCCTGTTCCAGGCTTTCCTCCCTACTCACCACTATTCTCATGCAGCAACCACCTCCAGTTGGTCAGTGCTGCAGCACTTCCCAGTACAGGGCCCAGCACAGCTCTGCCGTCAGGCAAGGGTGACATTTCCATGTCTGCTCCAAGCTGGGCCAGAGGGCAGAAGGGTGGTGAGATGGTACTGTAACCCTTATTCATACTATCACTTCCAATCTTCCGAATATCCAGTGTAAACCAGGCTTATAACATGAAGAACACTGGTTGTATAGGCAGGCAAGGAACTAGCACCGAGCTCTGCTACCATTATACACGTCCACAGTTTTGCAAGCAAGTTCCCAGCATCTGTGTGAGTCCTAAAGCATGATTTCCTAACATCAGCTTTTCTCTGGTGCTGCCAGAGGCAGGAGAGGTTTCCATTATAGCACAAATGGCCCAAGTCCATACCTGGACATAGATACCCCAGTGAGCTATGCCTTAAGGAGCTGGATTTGCCCATCTCTGATGGGCTACCTGGCACTTGTCTGTTTTGTTTGCACTGGGGAATACACATCTAGGATCATTTCTGAAATAAAATCTAGTTATGAGGTTGATTGCTTTGCTGTGTTGTAACCAAATGACTTTTTGGACCATTATTTCTTTGTTTTATATTCCATTTTCTTAACAGTTTAAATCTGGGGACTGCACTTCTCCTCTACTGATGATTGCATATTACTGTGCAAATACACACTGTCACACAAGCTTAATCCTTTCCTCTCTGGGTTTGAACAGGGATCAAGAGACAGGGTCTTGTGTGGCACAAATCTTCATGTCCCGCTCATGTTCTGGGGACAGAAGCACTTACATCACACAGCAACTTTGTTTTAGCAAATGACATAATAATGGGAGTGGTGAGTCTCTAACGTCTGCAGCTACGTCCTTCTCAGCCATAATGCTGTATGATCACACTGTTAGGGCAAGAGGGGTAACGTAGGTCTCTGAAACTATGTTTGGCTATGAGGAAGGAATTAAAAGTAGGAGGATATGATTAATGCCAATCCACACATTGTTAAAGAAAATGGATGTGTGTGTTTCATTAGAAGCGTATCACATCTATGTTCATATGTTATGTTATGTCTACATGGTTACCATTATCAAACAATCTTGTTTTCTAATTGGGATTTATAATCACCAGAAGTGGGGAAAAAGGATTTCTCTGCTGCTACTGTCTACAAACGTAAATGATTCCTGGCTTTAGGGGAATAATCTCAATGAACTAACCACTCATTTTCTAACAAGGCAATGGATATTTGTCTGACAGAGGTCAGAAAAAGGGTATTTTGGGGGGTTTGACGTAGATGATGATTCAATAAATTAATTACCTCAAAGCAAATTAGGGAGTGAATTGTGAGCGTGTTAGCCTGAGTTGCTTGCTTTTAGCCTGAGGATATGGCTCCGTGTGCATTTTGCTTCTCCTTTTCTATCACCCTTGAATATGTTAATCCTCTGCCTAAAACACACACACACACACCACACACACACATTCCTACTCCCTCTCCAGGAACAGCACGGTTTGCAATATTGAATTGATTGCTTCAGGGAACAGATCTGTGTTAGAGATAACTGGCAGCGCACAAAGCCATTTCCTACCTGCGCCTATGGAGCGGCTGCTCAGGGTGAGGGGAAGGGGAATGTTCTCGGGTGGTAACCAGGCGCCGGCTGCTGCCGGCTGCAGGACTGCCCTAACAGCATCCAGAGTAGCTTTGCTGGCAGGAAAAAGCAAAAGGAGCTTCTGTGAAGCTGAAGTGGCTGAGCCCATCCGGGCTGAAGGGCTCTTATCTCACATTTC